TTTTTAGGGTTATGTTACAGTGCGCTTCTGTCGGCGCGCTGTTGTCGGCGCTCTGTTGTCGCACGGTTTTGACGGTGCGGTTTTAGCGACGCGGTGTTGTCGGCACACTTTTGACGTTCATGGTTTTGTGGTGGAACCGCTAAAACATAGGAAGAATGGTTGCAGGAACTGGGCATGGCTCGTCTAGTGGAGAGAAAGACCAGGGGCCACAAGATAGCAGTGTTCCAATATCTCAGGGGCTGTCACAAAGAAGAGGGAGTCAAACTATTCTCCAAGGCACCCGAGGGTAGGACTAGAAGTAATGGGTGGAAACTAATCACAGAGAGAAGCAACCTAGAACTAAGGAGAAATTTCTTGACAGTTAGGACAATGAACCAGTATAACAAATTGAAGTTGTGAATGCTCCAACACTGGAAGTTTTTAAAGAAGATGTTGGATAACCCTTTGTCTGAAGTGGTGTAGGATTTCCTGCCTAAGCAGGGGGTTGGACTGGAAGACCTTCAAGGTCCCTTCCAACTCTGTTATTATATTATTCTATATTATATTATATCCTTGTCTAGTAAAATTTAAGACTAGATGATCATATAGTTGGCATTTATGGGTGGAGAGTGACCTTTTCTGCACAGAAACACTAGGTATGGGTAATGTCCTTGCGATGTACACTTGAAAATACATATTCTGTCCATAGATCTCAGTGACACACACAATATTGTTGTAATGTGCTTTAATTTTCCCTGTTGTAGAGGAACCTGTTTTCAAAGTCTCAGCAGTGGATAAGGACCAAGAAGGCACTGAAAATTCTCAAGTGGTATTTTTCCTGGTCTCACAAACCCCTGACCTAAAGCCTCTTCTCTTCACCATTGATTCCACTAGTGGCTTAATACACATTACACAATGCTTGGATTATGAGGTACAGTTCTTACAAACAAACTTAAAATGATGCTTACCTGAGATCTGTATCTTGGCATGCATACTTTCAAGTAAAACGATCTAATAAAATTTGTTGCCAGTGCTTATTGATTCTGTCTTTCAGTCCTGTGCTAACCTTAATCCATCACCTTAAACTAAATGCTCATCTTAGCTTTTCGGAGTATTGCGAATGAACAGTTTAGCGACATTGTTAAGTTGAAGGAATGTGGATAGAACTGGTATTTGGAGCCAGGGAATTGCTAAATTTAACTACGCATTAGCAAATCGTTATATTGATCTATTTTCTCCTAGCTGAGCCAACTTCAGAACATGTGAGTTGGAAGATAAAATAAGAAGTTAACACCAATGTCTGGCACACAAATCCTCTTGCCAGATAAGAGACTAAAAATGCATATTATTTGTACAGACGTTACAAGATAACATTTCAATTTGCCTAACACAATGGTTCTTCACCGGAGTTTTAACTTATGGCTATAGAATATCATGCAGATACAGAATATGTTTACAGAGTGAATGCATGAAACAGATACTTTGATAGATGAATCAAAGCTATTCTTAGCTATCTTTAATCCCTTGTAGAGTCGAGTCTGGGCAACTGAATGGAGCTAGCAGAGTGTTTTAATTGCCGGATGCCCTTCCTGACGCCAATGTAGAGTTTTTATTCAGCTGATATATTCTCAGTGTGCCCAGAGAGAGAAATATCTGCCTTTACCCAGGATCGAACTCACAGCCTCCTCATTGTGAGACGAGAGCTGTATCTCTAGGCCACCGCATCACTCCAAACTCTGGCATCTTATATAGTCTACATAATCATGAGCTCATATTTTGCCACTCTTATCATTATTATTCAGATGGCTGCATTTTTATGGAGGAATTACACAAACCTTACCCTTTACAATTTCCCCAAAGAATAAGGATAATGTCAAATTTATTTTGATAAAAAGATCCTTTTCTTAAACTTTAGTATTATTTAGGCCAACAGGAATTTCAAACTTGTGATCAGGGCTTCAGACCGCGGATCTCCATCCTTGTCGTCAACTGCAACAATCAATATTGCCGTGGAAGATTCTAACAACAATTTGCCTGTGTTCATTCAAGAAAATGTAAGTTGCTTAAGATTACTACTGACAACATGAAAAACTACTTGGCCCAGGCACAGAGAATAAAAGCATCTTCCTTTAAGTCATATCTGCAGCACAGAGAACAAGATTTTTTTTTTAAGTAATAAAGCATGCTTTCTTTTTGAAGTCCTCCTTTTTGCGATGGTTTGGGGCACTTGCATTTTTTGAAATGTTGCTGAAGCGTCGTTTCCATCAATTCAGCCAATATGGTGAAGGGGGAAAAATCCCGGGATCTGTAATTCAGCAACATTTTTAGGCGATATATTGCCCAATTTTGTAAGCTATGTAAGTAGAATAGAATCAGTTTGATTGGAAAGAACAAATTAAGAAGGGCAACCCTGTTCTTGTCTTAAAAGTGCTTTTTTCTTATATATAAATTTTTATTTTTATTACACAGGCAACACATACACAAAGAAACAACAACAACAACAACAAC